GTGTCTGAATTTTTAGTAACTCATAAGCAGTGTATTTTCTCTAAGTTACTTTTGAGCTGTTCTGAAAACATTTCTTAAATTGCTTAAACTGGTATAGCTTCTTAGCTCTCCACCTTCTCACTCCCCCCCCTTCCCCCCCCCCCCTCCAAGATCTATCATGAGAAGAAAGTGGCATGTTAACCTAATTCAGCAAAGCTTGAAGTAGAGTTCCTGCAAATTTTTCTGTTGGAGTGTTAGACTGTGATAACCATGCATACTCTAGAGATACCTGAGTCAATAAGGTCATTTGCCAAAGGCATTTCTAGGTCTAGGAGTGGTTTTGCTTCAGGAAGGCTGCACAGTCTTTTGGCCTTTTCATGAAGAGTGTTTTTTTGTGGCCAGTTCATTTACTCTGCGGTGCTTTCACTTTTCAATGGTGTAAGGGACCTGCAAAGCACATTAATGTGGGTGGTGGTTTTGCAGCAAAAAGGCTTATTCATAAAAAACAAAGGTATCTGTCACAAGGTTTTAAATATGGTACTGCTTGGAAGGTGGACATGAATGCTTGCTGTGTGTGATGTGGCCCAGGCTGACGATTGTAGCCAGACAAAATGGCCTATTACTTTCAAAAGTAATTGAATAAAAAGCTTGTTGGTATCAGCTATTGCTGGGTGGAAAATTTAGTCTGTTGGTCCATCTTACAGTGTTGTGTTCCCAGACATTTCTGGCCATGACATTTCCTCCTGTGTTGTCACTAGAAGCGTCCAGCAGGTTCTCCAAAGCCACTTTGCAGGTGCAGCAACTTTCTGAAAGAATCTTCTTATGATGGAGGGATTGAAAATGTACTCCTAGCTTCTTTAGTTTTACTGGGAAATGAGCATATTCTTTGGTACACCTGTTGTCAGTCATACTTTTAACTTTGCAGAAAAGGAACCACTGCTCTCCAGGTGAAGAGTCAAATCTACAGGCCTTGTTGCCTTTCCCACTCACTCAGTTCCCTGCAACACTGGAAAAGTAATTACGATATTGTTAAGGTTTAAACATTTCTTCTTATTAATTCACATGTGTGCTTATACTTAAGAACTTCTCAACCTTGTAGGTTGCAGGTGGCAATTTTACTGTATGAAACAGAGTGGTCAGTATGTATTAATGGGGTTGGACTTTCTTTCCTGTTAGGTTTGGTATTCACCCTGTGGCTGGCCGTATGCCTGGTCAGCTGAACGTACTCCTAGCAGAAGCTGGTGTTCCCTATGATATTGTACTGGAAATGGATGAGATCAATGAAGACTTCCCAGGTTAGCATGCAAGCTATAAGTTTCCAGTAGATTGGATTTGATCTTGTCAATTTTGATTTGATTCTGTTTTTACATTGCCCAAGGATTTTAAAAACAGAAAATTTCTGTCAGGCCATTCAGTTTCTCTTTGTGTCTGTTGTGATACCACTGTAGAGGAGCAGAGGTCTTTCTCTTGCAATCTGAGTGCTCTCCCAGCAGATGGCAAGTGAGCACAGAGGAGTACAAGACATAGCCTGACTCAGAAACAGAAAACTGAGAAGCAGAGAGTACAGATAGGTAAAGCAAAGGGAAATACTGAATGCAGGAGTACAGAAAAGACTAGATATGAAGGGAGGTTAAATAGGACTATGAAACTTGTTTCCTCCAGAACCAAGAGAACAGGTTTTTTTAATTGCTTGTAGCTGTGAAGTAAATGACAAATGCTGTGTCTTTTTTATCACTGTTACCGTTCCATACAGGAAAACTACTGTTACTTCTTTAGGTCAGACCCTGTCATGTCTTGCAAACCAGTATAGCATTGTACAGAAAACTTTTTGCTTTCTTACATCTTTATTTAAAAATCAGGAAGTTGCTGGTAATAGGTTTTTCAAAAGAATATTCAAATGAAAAGCCGGGCACAAATAAATTTGAAGGTCGTGATGCTATGTGTGTATGAAACCACATTTAAATATCAAAGGTTTTAACTTTTGTGTGGTAGAGTGGTCTAACGAGTCCCTTGGAATGGGGTTGTAGATGCTTGCAGTTTGCTGGAGGTACTTGGTAGCACACTTGGACTCTCACATATAACTTGCCTGATAAGTTTGTAAAATATTTGTGAATGAAGTCCCCATAAATGTTTGTAGAGTGCTTACCATAAGGGGTTCTTCTGCCTCTAAAGATCAAATTTAACACAAAAATGTACATCAGCCTCAATGTTCAGGTTTCAGATAATTTTTCATCAGTTTTTTTTGTCTTGCTGCAGAAACTGACTTGGTCCTTGTAATTGGTGCAAATGATACAGTTAATTCAGCAGCTCAGGAAGATCCGAACTCTATCATAGCTGGAATGCCAGTTCTTGAGGTCTGGAAGTCCAAACAGGTGAGATTAACAGAGTTGCGTTAGGACCTATCTTAGGTAGCATGCTTTTAAAAACATGGCTTATAGGATAAGCTAAAAAGATTCTCCTACTCTTGTGGTTCCCGTGACAAGCTTTTCTGCAAGGGGTCCAACAAAACAGTCAGTACTTTGCAAGTGTGATGGAGTGTTCATGATTTTATAATCATCATCAGGTGCTTTAGTGAGACTAATGATAGCTGCAGTAGAAAAGACCAATGAAAGTGCTTCTGCTAAAAAATGTGATTAGAACAAACGATCTGCTCACATCTGCAGCCCTAAAGCATTTCTGTACAAATACCTGCTTTTTTAAGTTTATAGGAAAATTGATTGACAACTTTAATATGGAGGTGGAAATATGAAAATGAATAATATGCTTAAATAAAAAAATCCAAACAATGAGTGGCTAGGTTGAGTAGACAGCTTAGTCCGTCCAGATTGAACTGACAGTTTAGTTACCTCATCAGTTTTGCTCTTTGAAAGCAACATTGTCTGATGTAAAGTACACATACTTGAGTTTCCTTGACGTGAAATCTTTGATCTCTTATTCTGAACCCAATCGTAGCCTCAGTTCTTCTGTGGGTTAGCCATTCAACTACTTGCAGTCATAGGCACATACATTTATCAGTGTTTTGTGCATAGCTATGTGTTGCAATTTGAGAAATAAACAAGTATGTGGTTAAAGTTGGTAAAGCTTCACGGCTTCTCTGCTGAAGGTGCAGTGGTTAACTAAGTTGACATTTAATAGCTAAAACTGGCTGAAATTTATTTTAGGTGGGGTTTTTTGTTTGGTTTTGGGTTTGGTTATTTTTTTTTTTAATCCCATGTATGAAGTAATACAGAGAAATACCAGAGAGCGTAGTACCAAGTATTGATGTGAACACTCATCTGAATTGTGTTGCTGTCAGGGGGTTCTTAAAATAGTTCAAAACTAAAAAAGCCTCAAAAACCTGCTATGTTATAATAATCAGTGCCAATCTTGCTTTGACTTTATTACATGGAATAAAGTAAAAGCATATGCATGTGAAGTGTCCACAGTCTCTTCATCTGACATGCAATATTGTGTTTAACAATGAAATGTTTCTGAACCTGGTCCGGGTATCAATTTGTCTGCTGTATTAAAATTTGAAATACAGTTTTGTAGCAGTGAGCACCCTATTTTGGCCAGGGATCTCTCTTCCTCTCCCTTCATTTGGTGGGGGGTTGGTTTTGTGTTGTCTTTGAGGGGGGACGGTGGTTGGTTTTTGCTGTTTCAAACATGAAGTCTTTGTGTGCAGGTCATTGTAATGAAGAGATCCTTGGGAGTCGGTTATGCAGCGGTGGACAATCCAATCTTCTACAAACCCAATACTGCCATGTTGTTGGGAGATGCCAAGAAGACTTGTGATGCCCTGCAGGCCAAAGTCAGGGAATCGTATCAAAGCTAGACACTGATTTATGTTCTACTCATGATTGCGACTACAGTTTTGTCACAGAGGTCATGGAAAACGAGTTAGAGGAATCTCTTACTGTCATAATGCAGCTGGCATTTGGAGAAGACTGCATTGACTCCTAGGAGACGTAGTTCAGTCAGGAAATGTAGGCTTTTATGAAAGGATGGGCACATTAGCCCTTCAAACTAAAACTAAATCTCCCATGAGGCAATGCATTAAAGAATGAAAATGTGCTTTTTAAGGTTAACATTGAGTTGTTAGAAGGAGGAACTAGTAACTCATGGTCATCTTTAAGTAGTTACTGGCTTCCTCTTCCTAACTGTCTGTACTTCTGTCATGGAAATTCACTAAAAAATACTGTGCCAAAATTGTATTCTGTCTTATCATCAAAGCTGTTCTTTGGCCAGTATGGACAAAACAACTATTTATTTCATCAAAACTTAAAGCAAAATTACAAACAGATGCAAATAGATGCTTACATGATTTGAGATTCTGAACATAATGTTCTGTAACATCTCTTTAGAAAAATTGAACTGTTTCTTTTGTGGATTGTGTGGATGCTGTGAATCAGGAACATTTTAGAAAAGTTACTTTTCTTTAAAATACAGTTCCACTTTTTTGTAGTGCCCACTTACATTATGTAAAACAAAACACAGGATTTCAGGGACCTACCAGGTGATCTTCAAGCCTGACAAGGAAATGTACACTTACTTGCACTGCTTAACTGTTTTAAGCAGCTGCTAAATTCTCCATCTTTTCCCGTCATTGCCTTTTTAAGTGTCTGAGGAAAAATATGGTCCAGTTCTGCATGGCAGAACATCTTGCATACCTGATCTGTTCACAGAATTTGGACCACAGTGTTTCAGTTTGTGTTCACTTAGACTTTTAACTGTATTTGCTACTTTAAAATTTAGTGATGCTTTCTTAATTAACATTTTTGTGTTGCTGGAAAAGGCACTTTTGAACATATTTGAGATGCTGGAGTTTATTAGAATTTTTCTAAATAAATAAGCTATTGTTTGGACAGCACAGAAACATACCAAACTTAAAATCCAGTGTTTTGATTATTTGACTTTTCCCTAATCTAATTAAAAGCACTGTTAAATTCCCATAATAAGTTGAGCAAAGAATTAAATTAAATTATGACATAGATTGCTGTTTTGTTTTTATTATGTTAAGTGTACTTGAGTGGAACTCAAATATTTGCCTAGTAAAATGAATTTATCGTGTTTCCATAATGATGTAGCAACTGTCCATGGTGACGAAGGCTAAATAGAAATAGCTGTACTTGTGTTAGAAAGCATTTATATCTGGGGAATATAAACTATTATGAAGTCTTGAAATTAATCCATCTTGATTGATAGAACAAACATTTTTTTATTACACCATGTATAGAGACCTCATATAAAATATAGTATTTCTACTTAGCTACCTCTGTTTTTATGTGAAGATCACTTAAAATATGGACTTTGAACAGGTAATGCAGTAAGAAATGTAACAATGTATGAAAGAAGCTACCCTTTTTGCAAATCTCCTTTATATAATTTGAAATAAAAATTATCATGTAAGCATTAATATGTTGCACACTGCAGGAAAAGACTTGTAATTGAATTTTAATTTAGAACATCGTGGCAGCTATATTTGAATGTAGCACGTATGGCCTCTTGATTTCATTGTATTCAACTTTTCTTTTAAGTTTGCAAAAAGTAGTAGGTAAATGGGAGAAGGGGAAAGACAAGGAAATAATCCTCTATCTCTCTTTCTCCCAACTAAGCAAAAAAGGGATTTGAAGGGATTTAACATCCTAAAGTATTAATTTTTGTTTTGTCAAACTTGAAGTATCTGACTGCAGTATGCAACATGTCTCTTCTTCTAAGTAGCTAATATAAGACTTAGCTTTTCCTTTGTATTTGGAAAAAAAACCCCACACTGTTGGATCAGAGGTACCAGTGTTATCTTTAAAACTGTGCTTTACCATGGAACACCAGGTAATTGTTGAAGTGCTAATAAAAAGTCGATTATTTTTCTTTATTGATCCCTGTCTCTTTTCTCTCCTGTTGTGTTTCCTGAATTAGGTAAGTAGTCTGAGATTCTTTCTGTGAGTTAGGAGATCAAAATGCCACCAAAGGATGTTGAGATTGAAGAATGTAGTGAAAAGGAATCGTAGTGAAATATGTGTATATCTTTTCTTTTTTTAATTTGAGTGGTTCTTTAAAATATTCCTTCTCGGTGTGACTGATGTCACCTGACTGTAGCAACTTCACTATGAGCTCTTCTAGTAAATGAAGAGGGTTAGATAACTTCTGAGAGGAGTTGATCCCAGTATGTGTTGCCTTTTTGACTTTCTTTAAAAAAAAAAGGCAAAAAAAAAAAAAAGCCGTAAGGGCTAACTTGGCTGAGTACTTCATTGGCTGAGGTGCGAGATGAATCCTGTCCCTTTGAGCCTGATACCGTGTAAGTTTGCTTCAGTTCTTAGTTACTTAGTTCTACAAGACGGTCAAGTTGATTGTTTGTAATGATTTCAGTTTCTACCTTCAAAGTGAATGATAAATGAATAATTTTAGCCATCTGATAGGCTGTTCAATTGTATTATTGCACAAGTCTGATGTGCAACTTCCATGTTTTCTTCAAGCTTTGGTCAAGCTGAGACTGGAAATTTCTTTCAGAGGCTGTAGCCTGGCGTTGATTTGTGAGGTAACGTCTCTTCCCTCTTGATTGAGCAGACCACCTGGGAGGCATATACCCACAGCACATGGATTTGTAGTCTGACAAATGGTAAAGCCATAGCCTGTGTCCTTTTGTGGATCTGGCTGCTAGTTTGAAGATTTTACTCTCTGCCCATCTCCAACTGCTTATTATCACCCAAGAAGTGTTTACTGTAGCCTTCCTCAAGCAGGCTATGAAAATCTCTTCTGATCAGATCATGGCAAAGCAGTGCAGCAAGAACAAAAGGAGAGGATGGAGGACACTAACCTCTGTTCAGCTGGTGGAACTTTTCCAGTTTGCAGTGTGTGTCCATGGCCGTGAGACACCCTGGATCTTTGTTTTTAATACAAGTTGTTGCACTACTGAAGTTACAGAGGAATTTAGTTTGGAAGAGATACCTAGAGATAATTTTGTCCAGGCCCCTGCTGCAAGCAGATCCAGTTTGATCAGATTGCTCCAGGCTTTGATTTGAACATATCCTGGGTGGAGATGGCACAGCCTCTCTGTTCCCCTATTCCAGTGTTTGATTCTTCCCATTGTGAACAAATTTTTTTTTTTTTAATACCTAATTGGAATTTCCTTTGCTGCAACTTGTGGGCATTACCTAGCCTAATGCTGTTACAGTGCCCCTCTGAGAAGAGTCTGTTTTCACCACTGTCTCATGGAAAACAACAGGAAGATTCTGCCCTTATCCTTCCAAAGCTGACAAACCCAGTTCTTTCTGTTTTTCCTTGTATGTCATGTGTGAATGATGGCTCCCAGTTTGGCTCACTGCAGTATGTCAGTGGTTTCTTGTACTGGACACACTAGTCCGGACACAGTCTCACAAGTATAAAGTGCAGGGGAATCATCACTTCCCTTTGCTGTTGGCTATATGCTTACTGATGCAGCCCAATATACAGTTTGCCTTTGCTGCAAGGTTGTGCTGCTGTTTCATGTTTCATGATGATCTGGTGGGACCACCTTTTTTTTCTGCAGAGCTGTTTTCTAGCTAGCCAGCCTCCACTCTTTACTGTTATATGGAGTTATTCCATCCTGAGTAATGGACTTCGCATTTGTCTTGGAACTTAATAGACTCCTGTCAAACTGTTTATTAGCCTGCTGAGATCCTTCTGCTAGTCGTGCCCTCCAGTATATAATTTGTTCCTGCAATTTGCTAAAATCTGTGAGCTTGTTGTGAGTGGGTTTCCTTCCCATTATCCAGGTCAGTAATAAAGACATTAAAAAGTGTTGACTTCAGTAATGACCCCCTCATGAATGCTACTGGTACTTCACCACTAGCTGGACTTCATACTGCGATCACAACCCGTTGAGTCTGGTGGACCAGCTAGTTTTCCACCTAGTTGATATTCTACTTGTGCAAACTATATGCCACTAATATGCCTGGGCAGCGTGGGAAACCTTGTCAAAGGCCTTGCTAAAAATCAAGGTATGCAACATCTATTGCTTTTCCTGTGTCCACAGGGTCAGCCGTCTCACTGTAGAAGGCAGTCAGGTTGGTCAGGCGTGCTTTGCCTGTGGTAAAATTGTGCTGCCTGTTCCTAGTCACCTTGTCTTTCATGAAGTTCCTAGGGGAGTTCCTATGTAACCTTCCCAGGGTCAAGGTTAGGCTGCCTGGCTTATTGTTTCCCTGTTCTCCCCCTTGCCCTTCTTGAGACAGTGACTTATTACTCAGATGAGAAATTAAATTCTGCCTTTATAAAAGCTGCTGTTTCTAGCAAATAGAGTTTACTTTCTGTGCTGAAAAGTAGGAAGTTTTGTTTTGTGCTGGTAAACTGGCTTTGTAACTTTTTATAAGTAGGGGAATTTCACTGATTACAAAATGAGTTTGCAGTTGTGTGATCTATTAATCCATCAATCAGTTTCTCAATCTCTTGCTTCAGTCTGGAATTTTAGAAGCCATATCATAATCTAATGAGTCATACATATCCTGCTATGTCAGTTCTTCGTAGGAAGCATGTAATTCTCGCCCATTCAAACAGGGAAATTGGGGGTTTTGGTTTCTGTTGCAGAGCAGTCTTGCAGCACACAAACTTGGATTCTTTTGAAGCTAAGTTAGAAGATGCGTTAGAGCCATGAATGAACATTCAGTCTTGCAGGACCAGATTAGAGGTAGTCCACAGTAAACACCCTCAAACATATAGGAGTAAATTTCACATCCTCAGCATCGAGTGCCTTGTTTGCCAGGTTTGATTCTAGTGTGCCAAAAGAATTGCTAAGGTGGACTACCAGATGTCGAGAGCATAAGAGAGATTAGAGGGTGTGTGTAACTCACTTTCTTCCATTCTAGGGCTTAATTATTTGTAATAAGATAACTTAAAATTTAAATTCAGAAATCCACCCCAAAACAAAAAAGCTTTTTGCTCCACTGACACACGTATGCTTTTGTATAAACTTTCAAATTCTGCAGGAAAACTTTACAGGAAGGAATTTCAATACTGGGAGATCTGGGCACTCTGATCTGTACCTAAGCAGTGCAGTTCAAATACTTGTTTCATAAGACTTGCAATGAGTATTTTTTCAACAATATCATTAGTGTGGGGTGGTTTAAAAAAAAGTATATATTACAAATGGTAATGACTCGCATAATCCAACTGCTCTGTAGCTAACCAGAGGATATATTACATTAACTGTGTTAGGCTACCGTGGTACATGGTTCTTTCTGAGGAAGATATGTACTTACACATGTTCACAGATGGGCTTGGTAATATTTGAAGCTCCAAGTTCCCAAAAGGTGATGTTTTGAAGTAGTAAAAACAGTCCTGAAACATGAGTTTAAGGTATTTC